ATCCTGTCCTCTAAATTAGCAAGAACTTGAAGCCAAAAGATTGCATTTGGGGCTGGGATGATAAACGTTCTCATTGCTTGATCATTGATTTTGATAATTAAAAATAAATGATCAAAAATTTTTAAGCAAATTTTATATTGCTAATAGAAGGAAAATCTATGAAAGTCTTCTATCTTAATTCCTAAACTGCTCAGTTTGCAGTTACTTCTGCCTGTTTTTTTTTTTTTCCTGATAAAAGACCTGAAGTCAGGGATGTGAATGAGTAACTTTGTAAAACAGCAGTTGGACTGTGTTGATGTGAAGAGACCTCAGCTTACTACGGTGTACAGACTTCTCTGTGAGCGTCTTAAGATGAGACTTCCTTGAGCCCATGTCCCAGGACACCTGGCTCCAAGTAAAAGCTTCCTGCCCCGTCTTCCCATTTCCATACCATAGCTATTTTTAAAATTAACTTACAAGTTTTGAAAATGAATATAAATGAGTCTAAAACAAGAGTGTTGCTTATACGAGAATTAATGTGCTTTATGGTATCAACTGATAATCTCTAATGTGACTTTCATCCAAAAGTGCCTTTTCTTCTTGCAATTCTAATGTTTCACATGTAACCAAGTATAGAAAATAGTGGTAAGCACAAGTACTGAGGCCTGAGTCTCTGGGTTCGTAGCTCTGCTCCTTCCTCAATGGGACAGGTAACTCACATTCTTGATGCCTCAGTTTCCTCATTGGTGAGATGGTAACAATAATAGTCCCTGCCTCTTTGAGTTGTTGTGACAATTAAAGGGATTAACTGACATAGATCTCTTGGAACCATGCCTAACACAGAGAAATGTTCACTAAATCTCTATAACAATAGCCACAACATCTAAGAGAATATTTCCTAATTTTACATTGTCAGAAGTTATTCTTGTGTTTCTATTCCCATGGCGTCTCAAAATCTAAAGCAGCTCAAATTCCTTGTGTTAGTCTGTTCCGCGCCTGCAAATACATTCATGGAATGTGCTCTTTTTACAATCCCTGGGATTCTTAGTATTTCAGTGGTACACATAAATCACACAGCATGTGCATGGATCCTTAACTCAGTCAATGGCAGATTCTTCTGAGCAAAATGTTTTCTATAGATGGTTTGGGGGTGTTTATAGCTTTCACCTTCAAGAACAGAAGTTATCATGGAGAAATCACAAAAATAGAGCAGCAAAATGTGGTGTGAAAAATGGGTATCTCCGGTGGAAAGAGAAAGCTGGCAACCCGTGTTGGCATCCCAGACCATTGGTTGTTTGCCTACTGCAGCCACACATCATGAGGGAGGCTGCAGGTGGGTCTCTCCAAGCACATTAGCTCCATTATCAGAGTAAGGCTTTTAGTCCTATTTGGAGTCCCTGCCCCCCAGAGCTTGGCTGAACCTCATGGAATCAGGAACAGCCCTTGATTAGACAGAGCAGGTCTAGGTGACCTCCTTGGCCCATTTCTGCTAAACCTATCTGGGCGCATTACATCTTAACATGCCAATTGACAAAAAAGGGAGGGTGGAACCAGAAGAAAAGAATATAAAGAGAGGAGTTGCATCAATACAGGTTTCTTCTTATGTTCCCTGAAGCAGGGTTTCTCAGCTCCAGCTCTGCTAACATTTTGGGCCAGATAACTCTTTTTCATGGCAGGTTGTCCTGTGCATTGTAAGATGTTTAGTCACAATCCTAGCCTCTACTCACTAGACTCCAATACCACATACCCTCACCCCCAGCATGACAACCAAGAATGTCTCCAGACAAAACTGACTCCTGGTAAGAACCACTGCTTTAAGCTACATTGTAATAACATGTCTCCTTGTATCCTTGGCCTTGGATGACTGAGGTCCTATTCCTCCTTAGAGAGTTATGATGAAAGGAGCCTTGAGTACCATCTCAAAGTCAGCCACTGAACTTTACACAATCTGAGATGGATACCCAGAGCGTAAAAATAAAACTATCCCTTCTACCTACCCAATAAGGCCAAGGCTCAAATCATGTGTTTCTAAAAATCTCAATTCCAGCTAAGGCAAAGAAAGTGATCTCTTTCCTTTTCTCAAAGTTCATACATTTGTACTAAAATTAATAACATCAGTAAGGTAGCAGGTTTTAAAATTTTATCACTCTATTTTTCCTACAGTCATTTCTGTAATGAAAATGTACAGTCCTCAAGGTATATGTTCAAGACTGTTAATCCCCTTTAAAAACATGCATTCCTTTTAAAATATATAGGTATGTATATATATATATGTGTGTGTGTGTGTGTATGCACTATAGTTCTAGTAGTCTTACAGTTACTGAGCTATTTTTTTCTAACAATTTTGTTCTCTCAAACTTCATGTGGTATTTTCATGTTCTGCACAAATTCAGTTCTTTGTACTACTTTGGTATATATTAATTATGAGTTTATATTTTGAAGTTCATGATTAATGATAGTCATGTCTATTTTATTTCTGTAGAGATTAAATCATCACAAAAATATACTTTGATAATGTTGCTGATGTAGTTTCTGGTATCTGAGTTTTAAGTGATTTGCATTATGTAGTCTATTTTAATATAAACTGACAAAATGGAATCAGTTGCATATTGCCTTTTTACCTTAGACTATTTCTCCTCTGTGTAAACAATTGAATTTAGAACCCCCAAATTATCACTGAACCTTTTAACACCATGAAATGTTGCCAAACAACTGCTCTTGTATTTGTTTTAATATTGAGAGAATTAAGTCTGGGTATGAGATTTTTTTTAGCTAACTAGTTTGAAATCTTATTGCTTTTTCAGTGTGTTTATTTTTCTTGCCTACTCTTATGAAAAATAACCACATGCAAAAGGAGCCCCTTTATGAAATATATAAATAGTATATATTTGTACTTTTCAGATGTTCTCTTGCTGTTTATCTAAATATTTCTTTTTTTAAAAAGATTTATTCTAGAAAGGTAGAGAAAGAGTGAGCACAAGCGGGGGGAGGGGCAGAGAGAGAGGGAGAGAGGGAATCTCAGCAGACTTCTCGCTGAGCCTGGAGCCCGATGCCAGGCTCGATCCCAGGACTCTGAGATTATGACCCCAGCCAAAATCAAGAGTTGGACACTCAACTGACTGAGCCACCCAGGCGCCCCTAATATTTCTTTCATAAGTAATCTTGGCAAATATCTCAATGAACTATAGTTCATAGTTTAAAAAGAAAATTTGCCCATTTTCCTTGCTTTTCATGATCTTATAAAAGTTCTACAGAGAAATGCATTGGAACAATTTATTAGTAATCATCAGATTTGGGCAAATTTCACATAACAACAATGTTAATAAAAGCTAATTTTTACTGAGTGTTTACTTTGCTCTGTGTTAAATATAACTATTTGCTAAATTATTTTCAAATGTTATTTTTATGTAATCCTCATAGAGGTATGACCTTATTAAATATTTATGTTTATAATTATCCCTGTATTATTTTTTTTAATTGCCTGTTATCCTAGTTTCTTTGTCAGTCACTGTCTTGGGAATATCTTGTAGTTGAAGACTGTATTGTCTGACAATAAGTGTTAATGGGTTCAAAACTTTGCTAAACTTGGTGGCTCAAACGTTAAAAATAATAATATACGTAAGATGAAGAGAGGGATCGGGGGAGGGGAAAAAGAGGAAGAGCATGAGACTATAATCTCTGTCTCCAGGCATCTGGTTGAAGCCATATAACCTAGAAATATAAAACATCTAAGGTGAAGGTATCAGATGACATGAAATCAAGTGTAGATTTTGTGGTGGTGTATTATAGGAATTCAAAGTTGGGAAAGGTTATTAAGACCTGAGGTTAAGGGGCGCCTGGGTGGCTCAGTCGTTAAGCGTCTGCCTTCAGCTCAGGTCATGATCCCAGGGTCCTGGATTGAGCCCCGCATCAGGCTCCCTGGTCAGTGGGAAGCCTGTTTCTCCCTCTCCCACTCCCTCTGTTTGTGTTCCCTCTCTCGCTGTGTCTCTCTTTGTCAAATAAATAAATAAAATCTTAAAAAAAAAAAAAAAAAAGACCTGAGGTTAATTAGAGAAGCTCTGTGGGCAGTGGATTCTTATCTCAACCTCAAAGGAAGTTAAGATTTGGTTTGGTCTTAGGCAGTTGGTGAGTAGCCAGTGATGAACAGATGACATTCCAGTTGAAGGACAAGCATAAGAAAGCTTAGAGATGAGAAAAAGCTTCCAGTATCATAAATACAATTGATCTAAGGGTTTCAATCTTACCTGAAACTCTCACATGATTTTTATACAATTTTAGAATAAGGACATGGGTTGTATTCACATTCTTTCTGATCTAATATAAAAGCATGAGGGTATTTCTGGGATTGGGAGGAGCACATAACTTCTGATAAGAGACGTCAATACACCAGTGTTCATTTGGCACTCTGTGGCCCATGCTTCCAGAGATATAAAAGAACTAAAAAGGTGGGTTTTTTTCCTAGATATTTCCTTATTTAAAAATGTATTAGGCCACACTTTGCCCTATAAAAGAAGATTACAACAGAAACTATTAGCGAACTGGTGTGTATTTTGCTTGATAGTAGTAAATATTTCTGGATGCCTTTCTGACATTGGCATCCTTCATTTCAGTAGTTCTCAGCCCTTTTTTTCCCCCTGCCTTTTTCCTATTTCTTCTTTCCCTCACTCCGAGTTGCCAGTCAGATATACTGTCATAATCTGTCATTACACAGAATGTTATTCTGGCAGGGCAGCGGTGGGGAGGGCGGGTGAGCCTGGGGAAGATTTGTATGAGAATCCAGGAGAGGGACGTGGGCTGTGTATGGTTTGAAAGTTCCCCTTGGAAGTATTGGTTTCTCCCCTTCCCTGTGCCCCTTGCCATTTGACAGTTTTTTTAAGTATTTTAAATTCTGTACTAGATTTATATTTTTCTAGAATATTATTAATAGGTTACTAATAAATCAGAATAAATCATCTTCAATAACGTAATTTGAAAGATTTTTAAAATCTCTCTTTCTCTGTCTTTTAAATTTTATTTTCTAGATCCCCAAATCCAGGAGTGAGGGATCTATTCAGGCCCACAGAGTTCCACAACCAGAGCTATGTGATGGCGTTCCTCAGGTCAGCCTGCGGCTAAGTCGTAGAAAACCCTGCTGGGATGACATGAATTCAGCAGAGGATGCTAATGTCTCAAAGTTGGTATCCAGGTTGGCATGTTTCTTTTGTTTACATGTTATATGTTGTATTGTCTGCTCTGATGTTTAGGCCCACATGTTTTTGACTAAAAGTTCTTATCACTAGAAGTGTTTGTGGTTTGTTATATTTTATTTACATTTATTTTTTTGTTTGTATTTTAGACAAATTATCTAGCCAATTGGACTATGCTAGGCCCAGAGTTAAAAGTTGCAAGAGTTACTTTTTGGTTTCCTTTTCATAGTATGTTCAGTGGCCAATATTATTTGCAATTAAAATAAACTTCCGAGTTGTTACTAGGACCAACTGTCACTAACAAATTTGGAATATAGCCTTTTAGCTATTATGTTGCAAATTATGCCTGAAAGCAAACCTCTTTGGTGTACTTGAAGAAGGCCTCCAGTTTTCTTAAAATAGGTGAGATGGGTCTGAATCTTATTAACTCCTAGCATATAGAATTTTTCCTTTTAAGAATTTGTAATCTTTTGTTATAACTTAAAACCTATTTCTTACATCCATTACAAGACAGAGAGCTCTAGAAAATTGAAAGATATTTATGACATTAAACAGATAAATAATACAGTTAAGAGCGTACCACTTCGGATTGCATTATGAAAGAGGGAATTTCTGTAAAAGATGAAGAGAATTTATTTTTTTTTAAAGATTTTATTTATTTATTTATTTGAGAGAGAGAGAGAGAGAGAGAAACAGCATGAGAGGGGATAGGGTCAGAGGGAGAAGCAGGCTCCCCGCTGAGCCGGGAGCCCGATGTGGGACTCGATCCCAGGACTCCGGGATCATGGCCTGAGCTGAAGGCAGTCGTTTAACCGACTGAGCCACCCAGGCGCCCGATGAAGAGAATTTAAATAGGAAGAAAAAGAAGGTCCCATCAGGAAGTATTTGGGAAATAGCAAACAGGTGTCATGTGGGGAATTGGTTGGAGGTAAGGCTGGGAAAACGGAGTGGGGCCAAGTCAGACAGGGGATACAGCATTGAACAAAGCCAACCAGGGCCCTGTGTTTATGGACCTTATATTTTAGTGAAGGGGGCAATAAGAAAACACTCAGGAAAAAAAAGCTTATGAAGATCATTTCAGCTCTAATAAGTGGGAGTATTAAGAAATTAAATCAGGTTAATGTCACAGACTCACACAGAGACAATTTTAGTTTGAGTAGGTAGGGAAAGCCTAAGCTGAGATGTGAAGGAGGAGAGAGTGTGTGAAGGTCAAGGAAAGTGCATTTCTATGCAAAAGAACCAAGCAAGGGACCTGGGCTTCATCCTACAGGTACTAGGAAGCCAGTGAAAGTTTCAGCTAAGTGGGGTAGGTGATGGGAACCATGATAAGTCGGTATATTAGGCAAAACAATCTTTTATCACCTGCAGGATCAATGCGACAAGGAGAGTTTGGAGGAAGTTATACTGTTGGTTCCTTCAACAGTTGTTAATCTTTACGGAGATCTAGTTTGTGGCATTTACTTGCTTGGTGCTGGCAATTCAGACAATGAGAGACAAGTCCTGCACTTGGGGAGACAGAGGAAAAGTGAATAAAAATTGATATGATTATTAAGCACACATACACCAGGTGCCCATCATGGTCCAAGCAGTGGGAAGTGGGCTGGTGAAAAAGTCCTAAGATTCAGGTGCTCTTAAAGAGCTTCCAAACAGGGCACAGGGTGCTGTGTGAGGCCAGAGGAAGGGTAGAGACCACGTTGGGTGAGGAAGGTCAGAGAGGTTTCAGAAAGAGGATGCCTTGTGAACTAGCGCTAGTAGAATAAGTAGAAGTTTCCTGGGCAGCAGAATCGAGATAAGGGTGCTCCTGGAAGAAAAAAGGCAGGTGCCGGGGCACACAGGGTGGGGAGGACAGCTTGGAGAACTGCAGGTGCAGCCGTGGGTTCGGGATGCCTGGAGTTGAGAACGTAGGCGAGGCTAGAGGCAGGCTAAGAGACTGAGCTGAATAGATCAGATCGTGAAAAACTATCCCCCATACTAAAGAGTTTGGATTTTCTCTTGAAAATGACAATGTGATTGAAGGAATCTAAGGCGGCAAATGACCTAAGCACACGTGGACTTCAGAGAAGCTCCTGTGGAAGGAGAAGGTTGAGGGTGCTGGTGGGAGACTAGCGAGAAGGCCACGCAGCCGATCCACTACCAACTGCCAGCCTCCGAGATGGGGCGGGCCCACAAGCCCGTGCTTTGAGGGAGGGCGGAGAACAGGCTATTGCTTCCAGGGGTGGACTCGGTCCAGAAAGGAGTGGGGTTGCTTTGCTTGTTTGTTTGACTCCATTTGGGGTATTATAATAATGACTGAAATGTAGGCAGGTTTGTGGGCGTAACAGGCAGAGTCCATGGAGGGAAAGAAGCTGATTTATAAGCTGGGAGGTCATGGAACAAGGCATCTGGAGGGAATTCGGAAACCAGGAAGGCAGGCTGTGCCCCTGGTGGGCCGCTGTGCCGAAGCGGGCAGGGGGGTGGCATGTGCAGTGCACAGCCCTCACCACTGAGGGGCAAGGCTGTCATCCTTGGAGGAACTGGCCTCGGGCAGGGAGGAAAGTTCCGAAAAAGAATAATGGACACAGATAGAAACATTGGGCCTTTTTAAACTTTTCTTCTCTAGTTTAAATATCAGGGTCAAGTGGCTGGGTGACAAGAGCTAGTGTAGATGTTATCTTCCCAAATTACTTGGCAGAGAATTATGCCAGGAACACTCTATGTGAAACAATGAAAAGAAAAATGCAAATTTTAGTTGTTTATATCATTATTTTTATTCATCCAGTCAGAAAATGAAAGGGAAAAAAAAAAAAAAGTTTGTTCCTCCTAAAGGTAACAAGAAAAGAGCTTCCTGTTTGGAGAATGAATTTGTATTTCTGAGATACAAACCAAGAAGTGAGAGGGGGCGCCTGGGTGGCTTGGTCGTTAAGCGTCTGCCTTCTGCTCAGGTCATGGTCCCAGGGTCCTGGGATCCAGCCCCGCATCAGACTCCCTGCTCCGCGGAAAGCCTGCTTCTCCCTCTCCCCCTGCCACTCCCCCTGCTGGTTCTCTCTCTCTCACTCACTCGCTCGCTCACTCTCAAAATCTTTAAAAAAAAAAAAATGCGATTATGGAGAGAAGGCACAGCTAATGTTGCTCTGGCAACTCTTTGTTCCACTGGTCAGCATATCTCCAGTTGAAACAAATGTGCATTAATATTTACGAATTTTTTAATACACTTTCTAAGTTCATAAAGTACGGCCTTGAAGACTGACTCCTTCACACTTGGCAACCTTAAAGATTTAGATAGAAACCTTGCTGCTCACCGTCATGCACTAGTGACTCATCCAAGTTCTCGTCTCTATCCATAATCTATAGTGTCCATGCAGAGATTTTACTTTTTACATACCTCTTAATAGATTGTGAGACAAATTGTCAAAAGACAGGTGGAGATAATTAAAATAAATTTAACTGAAAATAAACTTTAAATCTTTTATGTATCTTTGAAGTAATAGAATGAATATTATGCCAATTTTCATTTCAAAAATGAACTTATGAGGTGGTTTCCATTTGCGGTTACTTTCCAGAACAAGTTATTGGTTAGTTCATAAATTTTAAATAAATTAAAAGTGTGTGTGTGTTTCTACTTTTTTCCTTAACAGTTCATTAGTGGCACCAGTCTTAAAACAGTAAGATTGGCAATGTGTATTAAATATATTACTGTACGCCCATTATCCAATACAAGTTTTTTTAAAAGATTTTATTTATTTATTTGAGAGAGGGAGAGCACAGAGGGAGAGGGAGAAGTGGACTCCCCGCTGAGCAGAGAGCCCAACGTGGGGCTCGATCCCAGGACCCTGGGATCATGACCTGAACTGAAGGCAGATGCTTAACCAACTGAGCCACCCAGGTGCCCCTAATACAAGATTTACTTTGGTTTACGAACTTTGAGGAGTTGTCAAGAAGCATTTAGCTGGGCTTTTCCTAGTATTGATCTTTTATTTTTCAGTTGCTCTTTGAAAAATAGAAAAAAAAAAATTCAGCAAAATCTATTCTTGTTTGACCTATGACCTGGTGAGTTTGGTTTACTTTACAAAACAAAAAAAATCATTCTGTTTGCACTTTAAAATCAGTGCGCCACATTTATACTTCATTGTTTGGTTTTCAGCAGAGTTACTGTATCAGTTAACAACCAAGAAAGAACCTTTGGTACTGAGATTTCCAGAATGGTGAAGTGTCCTGTGATTTTTAAACAGCAGGTTAAGGCTGATTTCTCAGGCTTTTGAGGAGAGATTTTTGGCTAACAGTATGCTTTGATAACTTTGAATGTTTAGAGTTGAGGCCTTATTCAGTATTTTTCCCCAGGTTGTCTCACTTTGGTCTTTTTCTTCTTTGTTTCAATTCTTCTGTATAGTCTCATTTCTTCTTAAGATGTAGTAGAAATATGAATTGTTAGCAGCATGTGTTCATTATTTTCTAGTCTTCAGATGGTGGCAGCAAAAATAAAAGCAGAGAGAGTAACACATAAAATGTAATGTTTTGTGAGTCAAGAGAAGAGCTGGATATCACTGCTTATTGGCTGATTTCTGTCTTGGAACATTATTTATTCAGATGAATATCATTTTTTTCTATATTTCTACAATTGTCAAAAATTGACACTGAGGATATAATCATATAAACAACAATCATTTTTCTGATCCTCATAGAATCTCTCACAATTGGAGTAATTTCATGAAAAAAGCTTAAGGATAAGTATCTCTTGATTTTGTTAGAGTTCAGTGGAATGCTCTATTTTATACTGAATTCTAAGCCAAAGACAGAAATACTTAATTCAGTAAAAGCATTAGCTTTCTAAAACTCACAGCAGCAGTTACTAAAATACTGTTAAGAATTCTTTTTTTTTTTTTTTAAGATTCTATTTATTTACTTGACAGAGACACAGCGAGAGAGGGAACACAAGCAGGGGGAGTGGGAGAAGGAGAAGCAGGACTCAACCCCAGGACACTGGGATCATGATCTGAGCTGAAAGCAGATGCTTAACCGACTG